AGGGGCAGAGAGCGATAACGGTACAAGAGCGATAACGGTGCACGGGGACGGTGCACGGGTACACGCAGGTGCAGGGAGGGGATCCGGGCAGAGAGCGATAACGGTACACGGGAACGGAAACGTCGCAGCCCATGCAGAAAAAAAGGTTCCCTTGCGCTAGTACTACGACGTCTACAACTCATGTGCATGTTCCGTTGGTTTTTGGGTTCACGGCTTGACCTTGTTCTCTAGTGTCCTCCTAAACTTTACAGGCAACAAACAGCTGCATTAACTATGGTTAACTGCTTCATCATGGTGCTTGTTATTATCGCCACTTTGTGCGACTTCGACAGTGGCGTGGTAGGGTGCTCCAGCCGCCGGAGCTTTGCGCTCGTCAGTGTAACATGTAAGAAATGCAACGACAGTTCTTGCGAAGGCATTCCCCATTTGCACGCAGCATTGTGCATGGAACAAAAGCTGTACCTACCTAGCTAAACCCGGCTCCGCGCGTACATTTGTGAGGACAGTTCTGAATGGAATTGGGAAGGTCACACGGCATTGAACAACAATAGCAATGCTCCAGTGGTAGGTGTCCATCCCATGCCGCTCGCATGACCGAACCCTGAAGACAAAATCCTAGACTCCAGCTTGTTGTTATTGCCGGCACCAGCCTGAGTTTCTGAACTGTTGACTTCCCGAACAGCTGCAACTGAGTCTCTGGGATTTGCGATTGCGACGGTAAGGATTGAAGGGGCATGGGGTTTCAAGGCTTCGACGACGGTTTAGGTGTTCGAGCTCGATGTCGTTTTGAACAATGGGTCCGTTCTTCCAGATAGAGGAGCCATCAACCACAAAGCTCGCGGATTGACTCCAGGCACCTTCAGAAGGCTGGGGACATGCCGAAGGCGGTGTTCGCTGGTGCTTCCAAGACAAGGGTCTCCAAGCGGTTGAATTTTCCAGGAATCGGAACAGTAGCTTTTTGCAATAAGAAAGGAGAGGCCATGAGTATATCTTGAATCTTGAAGTCACATGGGCTTAGGTCTGAACACCCCAACCATTGAACTGGAACTGGGACAGTCCGGGCTTCAGACGGGATCAAACCACTACTGAAGCATTTTGGATCAGGGAGTTTCTGAAATAAGGCAGTAAGGAGCGCGATACCACCTCTAGACTACATGCCGCGCCTCTCTCGCGCATCGCCTGTTCCAGCAGTTTGGCTATGACCTGGCCAGTCCGGGAGATATCCACAGGACACTTTGTTCAAAAGTTTTTGCCGCTCGGCTCCCGACACCGGAGCATCTATTGCGGTATCCCCCCCTGGCTCTATGTCGTTAAACTTCATGATGACCTGCACTAAGGACCTGGGGTCAGCGTTCAGGACACTACTGCCTATTGCATGTCAGGGTTTCACCGCCCACAGCTCGGGGACATGCCAAACCCTCAATCCCACGAGCCCCTACTTTCGGGAGTTTCTTGGTTTTGCTTGCATTGCGTGATGTTGGGTTTTTTGCCTCCTACATTGCCAGGACGAGCCTGCAAAGCAGAGACGTTCAGGGGACCCATACGATTGACGAACACTAGCATGAAACAGATGACGCTGGGTACAGTGACAGCTCCCTCGCGGTGGCATCAACAAAAGCATGCAGCATCAGCCTTTCAAGTGACTGGCTTCCATTTGACACTCGAAACTTTAACCAATCCACACGGATCCACTGTCATCCACCCCATGATCTACAGTATCTTCCGTTTTCACAATTCGCCTGAGAAAGGCCATGTGGGATTCAGCTTTTAGGAATGCGGGCCTCGCTGGGCACAGCCTTGCCGCTCGTCATGGCAGCCTAGGTAATTCCGGATGCTCTGGGTTTAGGATGCTGCATCGTTCAAAGCACCAATGTAACGGCAATATTCGCCCCATCCAAACGCCCTTGGAAAAGATGGCCCTCAAGGTACCGTTCTCCAACAAGACATTCTCAGGTATCGAGGAGGGACGAGGTGACAAGGGTGTCCTGATGGCTGTATACAGAAGCCTATCTTTGCTTCTGGATGTTTGCTACACTCCTGGCTTCTCTGCGGTATGCCTACCAGCTTCACTTGTTTCACTTCCAATCACTGCACTATGAAAAGCCAAGTCGGAATTACGCTTGTCAGCCTTCGGATGGTCGAGCGCCACTGAGCGACATTACGCAGGATCCATGCCCTGAGCCCTGCTTAAGCCCCTTTTCGAATCACAAGAACTGTTCAGCATTCGTGTTTAGGGCTTCAGGTGTACACCTCAATGTTGCTCGGATCCTCAAAGCGCAAGGCTGCAGAAGCACACAAAAAGCATCTCTGGGTCTGGGGTTTAGTTTTAGGGACTGACTTTGAAGCCTACGTACTTCCGGGCTGACCTGACGAAACCGAAGTCCAAAGCTGTGAGTCTGTCACTGCGTTGTTGTTACGGTAAATAGGCCCTTTCGGTTTGGGGGGACCCGGGTTTCATCTGCTCTACGGCATCTGTAGGGTATCTGGGCTCCGACAGGCCCTCCTCAACCAAACTTAAGCACCGAAGACTGAACCCACGCTGAACCCGCAACCTTACAGCTCTGTCGCACCGAGAGACCTCGATTTCTGCTCCGAGTTCCGAGCCCTCTCGCTGCCGCTCCTCAAAGCTTCACGGAATTAGGTTGCAAGCTTAAGGGTCGGCTTCACGAGGAAAAGGATCAGAAGCTTTCGCACTGCTCAGAGCTACCGGGATCTAGGCGATGTAGATGCTTAGATTGTCGGCTCGGGGCTTGGGCTTCGGATTTCGAGCTGCCGTGCTATCTTAGAAAGTTAACAACGGAGTGGACCAAGTGAAGGCAGGAAACCTCAAAGAAAGAATTGTACAAATAGAGAGGCACGTACATACACAGGTGCAAGAAGCAGTACGCAGGAACCGCACGACAAAGATAAGAACAGGCTATACACGGCTGTACCCTGCATCTAGCCTCTCTCCCTCAGCCTTTGAAGCCAACGTGCATATGATAGCAGCCAGCTGTATGCACCTGTTCATGGCCAGGCGAAAAGCGGAACACTAACCATGCGCCAAGCCTCACAAGCTCTGGATCCTGAATTTGTCCTCCCTGCAGGGCCCTTACTCAAGCAGTTTAACACCTATCAAGGCTCAAGCCTCCGGTCAAAAATTGTCTTGGACGTCAGTGAAGACTGTTGAAGCACCATCATAGAGAAACCCTGAGCTTTGCAAGCCGTTTGAGCCCCTTAAGATTCCGGAACTGTGATCCTCGCGGAGCAACTCCCCCGCACTGAGGTGGGTGAAACCCATCTCCCGGATGAACTCCTTAAGTGGCAGGCAATGGTTTGGTTCTTTACCTGCGCAAAAGAAGTTTAAAGCTTTACAGTTGTTGTGGGGTGTTCGCATGTTGGGCTCCCAATCTGCCGGCAAGTTCCCAACGAAAGTGAACCATGGACCCTGTAGTGAACGTACTTTCGAGAGGCATTTACCAAGATGAAACTTATGGAATGCTACTGCATGCAAGCTGTCGGAACATCTCGGGGAACGGATTTGACAAGAGCCGCTGCTCTAATAACACCATTCCTGACTGGCGCTAACAGCTGAAGCATCCCCAAAAAACGCAAACTGTAGAGAAACACAACTCCACAAACCAAAGAACGATTGATTCGGGTTGAAGTACCTGTCGCATCCAGCTCGCATGAAGTTCTGAAGCGGCTGGGGCTCAGCAGGACTCTCGTCATTTACAGGGTGGAGATCTGCGTTTCTTCGGGCACTAGCCGAGAAGCCTGCAGTACTGGCATTGTCATTACTGCGGCTAACTTGCAGCACGCCTTGTCTTCTGAATGCTGGCGCAGTTATCAACAATAACGGCAGTGATCATTGCTGAACTCATCGTTTTCAAGCGGTGCCTTCATGCTGGTAAACAGCGCATGTCCCTCGAGACGGCACCCGGCTCACAAAAAAATAAACAGGATCAAAAACAAATTAAACATTCATAGAACAATAATACATTTAAGCAGGATCAGCAAAAATTATAATTAGTCTGCTCCAATGTCCTATTATTTGCAGAAGGGGTCCCTGCGTCCTCTATTTTACAGCACTAGTAGTAGTAGTAGTAGTAGTAGTAGTAGTAGTAGCAGTAGTAGTAGCAGTAGTAGTAGTAGTAGTAGTAGTAGTAGCAGCAGTAGTAGTAGTAGTAGTAGTAGTAGTACTAGCAGTAGCAGTGGCAGT